TTATAATAGGTCAAATCTGACTTAATATAGACTAGACCATAGACCCTTATAAGCCGACCTAGCCCCTTTACACCCCTACGTGCATGGCATGCAACACCTAAATAAAATAACCTCTTTGTTGAATTAAAGTAAAATAAATGTCATCAAAGACTTTTGATATATATGGTAAAGAGTTTGGATTTCTTAATAAAAAATTTTGAACTAAATTTTGAGAATGGAAATTTTTTGGAAGATCTACCTCTTTTAATAGAGTTTGACAAGTGCTCCAATTAAATATAATTCGAAAGATGAACCAGTTCGAAAACAAAATAAAATAAATAAATAATAAAATAAATGACTAATAGAAAAAAATTCCCCTTTTATAGTTGTAAGATAAAATGAAATTCAATAACATTATGACTGACAGAAAATAAAATCCTCTTATCTTTATGCATGTACGCTATAAAAAAAATAAAGTTCAATAACAAATAACATAATAATTAAGGGCTGTTTGATTATTATTTTTAAAAAATAAAGTTCAATAACAAATAGCATAATAATTAAGGGCTGTTTGATTATTATTTTTAAAATAGATTTTTGGTTTAAAAAAAATTATCTGGTAAGACTTGATTTATAAAAAAAAAAATGAAAAACTATAACTATTTTTTTTAGAATTAAATTTAAAGATTATTTTTGTTTTTTTGTTTTGGTTTTCAATTTTCAAAACAAAAAAATAATAGAAAATACATGTTTTTATAACTCAACATCAACAACACCTTTATCCCAAATTAATTGGGATCGGTGGTAGATAAACTCAAATAAAAGATACGAAAAAGTTGAAAAAATAAAAAAAGAAATAAATAAAATAGTAATATATATATATATATATATATATATATATATATATATATGGGACAAGTTATATTTACAAACTTTTTTGTTTACAAATTTTTACAAACTACACTAAGTACGACCGGTCCTACTTTAATCATGCAGTGTACGACCGGTCGTATTTAGTGTAATTTGCAAAAAAAAATTATAAACTGATCATATCCCTATATATATATATATATATATATATATATATATATATATATATATAAGTAAAAAAGAAGGGGAAAAGAAAAAGAGAGGAAAATGACTAAAAATGGACCATTATAGCTTTTCTCCATTCCTTTCTAAGGCATACCGTCCGTCAATCTATATCTCACTCCATTAAATCTTATTTTACTACATTTTTTCAAGTAAGTTTCGGTCTACATCTATCTTTTTTTGTGTTGAGCTCTTGGTAACAAATTTTTGTTCTTACGGGAGCATCCAGGGGCCTTCTCATTACGTGCCCAAACCATCTCAATCTATGTACTCTCATCTTTTCAGTCACCAGTAGTACTCTTACCTTTCATCGAATATCTTCATTTCTTATCTTATCCATCATTGTATAACCATACATCCATCTTAACATCCTCATCTTTGCTACTCTCATTTTATGCTCATGTTGCCTATGTGCTAGCCAACATTCAGCTTCATATAGCATTGCAGGTCTTACTGTTGTTCTATAGAATTTTCCTTTAACTTAAGGGGGATTTTGCGATCACACAAAAATTCAGATGTACTATGCCATTTCATCCACCCTGCTCTGATTCTATGCTTTACATCCTCACCAATCTCTCCACCTTTTTGCAAAATGGATCCCAGGTATCTAAAAGCATTCTACTTGGGTACCTCTTAACCACTTAGATGCATGGGATCTTGGTCTACATCTTTTACCAGAGAGAACTCACACTTCAAATACTCAGTCCTGCTCCGACTTAATGTGAATCCTTTAGATTCCAACGTGCTTCTCCACAATTCAAGTTTTCTATTAACATCGTCTTTGTTCTCATCAATAAACACAATATCATCTGCAAAAAAGCATACACCATGGCACTTCCTCTTGAATATATTTTGTTAGTTCATCCATAACTAAAGCAAAGAGATAAAGACTTAGAGCCGAACCTTGATGTACACCTATTGTGATAGAAAAATAACTTGATGTTCCGTTACAAGCTTTCACACATGTAGTAGCCCCATCATACATATCCTTGATTGCCTTTACATACTTTGAAAGTACTTTTTTCTTCTCAAGAACCCACCATAAAACTTTTCTTGGGACCCTATCGTATGCTTTCTCAAGATCTATGAACACCACATGATTTTATAACTATTCTAAAAACTAAATTAAAAAAAAAAACATAACACAATCAAACAAGCCTTAAATCTCTAGGATTGAAAGACGTTTTATAAATAGAATTTGTATTCTCTCAATCAAGACAATTTTTCATATAATGGTCACACATAGAATCTCCATTCAAAAAATTACACTTAGTTAATTTTTTTCTGTCTTCTTCGTACTATACTTAATTCTTTCTCCAACATTGATTGGTCCGTCACACCGAGTCAGTGATACACGAGAGTACCTTAAAAATTTTCCTCTCAATCTTATACACACGTCATCCCATATTTTAATATGGGATATGATATGTTTACAATTTTTTTTTGCAATTTACACTAAGTACAACCGGTCGTACACTGCATAATTAAAGTATGACCGATCGTACTTAATGTAGTTTATAAAAATTTGTAAACAAAAAAATTTGTAAATATAACATGCCACTTTTAATATACATATAAGGTGGTTAGAAGAGAAGAATATCTCGTAATGCCAATCCTTTGTCATTAGAATGAGATTGACCCATATAATCAATTCACCCATTCAAAACACTTGTCTTGTAAAATAAAATCGCAAAAAATAAGGAAACTAGCTAATATTCTAAATTTAACTTCATTACCAAAATATATATATAAAAAATTGATTGTCTCAAAATTCCATCTACATCAATGACATAAGTTGACTACAGTAATACAAATCTTTATCTATTAAACACGAAGTAGAAGGAGAAAGGTTCTATTAATTGATTTACTTTGGTTGGAGAACCATATTCTTTCTTAAATTTTACGAGTCTTACAAGTTTGACAATTTAAAGTGTGACGTTGCGAATTCGAATTTTTTAATTTATAAGTACAATAAGAATATTTTAAAAATAATATTAAACAGCAGCAGGAATCTATCACCATGTGTACTCTAAATTAGTTAATTGAATACAAAGAAAATCAAAAGTAACGACAGTACTTTAGTAGATTGCTTAATTTCAAACCCTTTTGTTGACTCTCTAAGTTAAAATTAATCATTAAATGACTTGTACATGTCAATTAATATATACACGATAGTTTTAAATTTGTCCATATTATCTTTTGAAAAAATTTAAATTTTTTATCGTCTTTATTTATTTTTCATTTCTATAATATAAAATCAGAACAATTCAAAAAGAAATGAATTAAAAGAGGGCCTTTTTAATTTTTTTTAAAAATAGGAATAAATTAAAAAAATACCAATTAATATGTAAAAACTATATAAAAAGAGGTTATGAATGAAAGTTTCTACATACGAGTTAAGAAATTTTAGGATCCTTTCATTTGATGTTAAATCTTCATGATAACTATTCTAAAATGAGATAAAATTTAAAAATTTAAATATACTATTGCCACATATACACACAGGGAAAAGTATTTCTCCGGTCACTAATGAGCCTAAAATGACATCACTTTTGGGCTATAAGATTAAATAGTTATAATGATAAAGACTAATATATCCCTGTAATAAATTAGAATTATAAAAATATCCTGATTACTGCCACAAAACGACGTCGTTTTGAGTTTACTGGAGATAATTTATCTCCATTGACTTGAGAAATCCTTTACCCATATATATATATATGGGAAAAAAGTATCTAATGTTACTTTAGACAACTTTATCTAATGTTTATCGAAACGACGTCGTTTTGGTGTTGAAAAATTAAAATGATAAAGACTATTATAACCTGAAATAAATTAAAATTATAAAAATACTTTGATTTTCGCTCCAAAACAACGTCGTTTCGATGAACATTAGATAAAATTATCTAAAGTAACTTTAGAAAAAAACAAACCCTATATATATATATTCTAAAACTAATTTGCTTGATCACTGACCATGTAAGTCATTCAGTAGACAATGATTCTAATTTAATCAGTAATCTCGAGATCAAATTCTAATAATATCGAGATCAAATTCTAAATACATGATTGGGTTCTTTTTTTAAAGTTATTTCAGACAATTTTGTCTAATATTCACTGAAATAATATCATTTTGGGACAGAAATCATGATGTATTTATAATTTTGATTTATTTCAGGATTATAATATTTTTTATTATTTTAATTTTTTAATCCTAAAATTATATCATTTTAATGAACATTAAATAAAATTGTATAAATATATCAACTCGATACATCAAACCGACTAATGAATAAACTAGTGGAGAACTTTTTTTTTTAAGAAAAACTAACATGCTTGATAAAGAGGGTTTAATTTTGTGCTCCCGTGCATATTTCAATGAGTGAGTCAAGAGGGAGATAAAAAAAGATGAGAGAGAAAAATATTTTTTTCTATATATATCATATTTTTAGTGGAAGGATCACTGTGAACTAGGACCACGTTAAATTTTTTCAAGTGCCATCACAGCGCGTTGGCATGGATGTGAACAAACGACTACACTGGCCTACTGTTGCACTCACTGATGAGTGACGATGATCACTGTTTTGCTTCAGCCTCCCATCCCCACCATCACCATTATGTCCGCACTCCCCTCAAATTGGCCAGGTGCATTTCATCTCTTTCTACTATTTGCATATATGATATGATAATACTATAATATATATATTTAACCTTCATTAAAAAACAGTTTTTTTATTTACAAAGAATATGACAAGAAAGATGGGGACACTGCATTACAAAATGGTGATGTCCTTTTCCTACTTTGTCCTTTTTTTATACTTTCTTACATCATATTTCTACTCAAATTACTTCCCTATTTACTGGGACCATGTGTTTTATATATATATATATATATAAAATATAAATTCTCTTTCTTGTTCATCCTAAAATCAAAGCTCCTTAGCACCCATTTCTTCTCTTTCTCTCTCTAGCATTTTACTGCTATTTGTACTGTTATCTGTGTGTGTGTGTGTGCTTCTCTTGCTCTGTTTCGTGTGGAAAAGATTTCTGTGTTGGAGAAATGTATGCAGAGACTGGTCTTCTCTTCCCTTATTCGCACAGCTTCTCTCAAGAGCTTCATCAACTTGAAGAGTACTGCGAAACCCAGAAGTTCAATGTTTCAATGGTACCTTGCTATTCCTCTCTTAGCCTATTACTGTGTCTGCTCGTTCCTTTATCCATGCTCTGTGGATTTGCATTTGCTTGAAGGGTTTTTCCTTATATCGAATAAAGTTCGAAACTTTCTTGTCTCTCTTACGCTCTGCTCTTTCTTCCGTTCCCTTATTGGTCTCTATTCATTTCTTTGGAGTGAATGGGGCAACAGAAAATGGGTCACTTTTGTTTTTAGCATTAAACTACGTTTTTATGCGGTTTATGTCTAAATTTGCGCTTTAAATTTTATTTCTCACATTTCAAATTTCTGTAAAGTTTTTTTTTTTTTTTTAATATATAATTTTGTTATTCCTTGCTCGATTGATGATAACAAGCTGAAGAAGGAAAACTGATTACCAAACTGTTTCAAATGTAATATATGTTTATTCATTTGATTTTTGCACCTTCCCTTCTTTCTGAATGTTTTCTCATAGATATAGCACAAGTGGAAACAGCTGGAGTTGGATTCATATGCTGGATCTGGAAAAGTATGAGAAAAGGAAAGGAAAAAAGTATAAAAGGGAAATATTCTATTTGTGATAGTTCCGTGTTCTATAATCTTTCTTCTATTTATTTTTAAGTTTCTAGTGTGAAATCTAAGTGGGATTTGTCTTTTTGTGCCGCACTAAGGGAGATTAAAGAGGAAAAGGCCTTTTATTCGCTTTTCTTCTTTATAGTAAGGAAGAAAAGGTTAGATTAGAGGAAAGGGTTTGTTAATTCTCAAGTTAATCATTTTTTCATGGTATTGTCGGGCACTAAATATAGTTGTAGAAAAGTTACTTCTTTTTCTGCTCCTGTTGAATACATGATAGGAGTAGGTTGTTTCCATATGGTGTGGCTTGCTGCTTTGGTCATTAAAATTTCAAACAATGTTTTTGAGGCAAGGGCTTTTGTGCCTTGGTAATAAGGGAAGGTGCATCTTGACTAATCCACCTCCCGGTTTGGTCAAACGCAGGCCATCCACTTCGGATCTAGGGATTTACAAGGATATTGCTTACAGCATAACCTTAAATAATTGACATAGGTAGGATTCAAACCTTTGCAGTATAAGATATTTTGATGTGTGTATATTTGTTCTTCACTGAATTGCTTTTAACCTTTGCAGCTCAGATATTTTGATATGTGTATATTGGTTCTTCAATGAATTGCTTTTAACTGGGTTCCTTTATCTAACACTAATTTTAATGATTTGAGTATTCATAACAAGGAAACTAGCAATCCATATTCTCCAGCTAAGTTATAGTCAAGTTCATTTTTTTTTTCCCAAGCCGTTCATCGAAACCCAACTATTCTTATTCAAGTACTATCGAACCCATATAGGAGGTGGTTCTCCTAACACCGTTTTCCCCGTTCCAAAGGCTTGAACTCAAGATCTCTATTTAAAGGGAACAAACTTATTACTACTTGAACCAATAGTAATTGGTACAGTCAAGTTCATTCTAGACTCTGCGGGGTGCCAGATTCACTCTTTTGGCTGTCAACGTCTGGACTTTCTTTCAAAGTCAGGTTTTTGGTTGAGGCATGAGCTTTAAAGTTGAAATCATCTATCTAATTCCAATTCAAATAACCTGAATCTAGTCAGCCCTTCTTTTCCATGTGAAGGTTCAGCTGGATATGTATTGGCACCTTTCGTTTACACAAGGCTTCTGATTTGCACTTTGCAGCATGAATATGGTTTTTTGCTATTGTATGTAGTATTTGATTTGTACTGAAATTAACAGGTAGAAAATCCTTGCCTTCTTTATCTTTTATCATTTAGCCTGCAATGTGTACTATTCTGATAAGAAGTACTCGAGTCAATTTCCTAAACCAGAGATTTTGACGTATTTCTTAGATTGTGCTTGAAACTCCTTGAAGCCCTTGCTCAAGTCTCTTCCTGTCACATAGCTTTTCCAGTCATCTCACTTATCTCAGATAGATTCTCTCTCTCTCTCAGTTGTTTCTCTTTTTCTCTTTCTGAAAAAGTTGAGGAACAACATCTATTTGGTCTAAATCCCATCTTTAAACCATGGTTTGTATGATGACAATGACATGCAACTGGAATCTTTTGCCCATTCTAAGAATTCATAATCTGGTCAGTTGCTTTAAGAACATTTTTACTTGATGTAATCATGCAAATGTTATCATGAAAACTTTTGCCATCGTTGATGTCAGGAATCCCATCTTGGAGCTAGTTCTCAACATTACCAAGTTAAACATGATGATAGAAATTGTGATTAAGAATAAACATATCTTTTTTCCAAAAAAATAAAAAATAAACATCTCTTGTTGGAAACAAGTAAGCTCACAACAATTGACTATGGACAGAGACTAAATGTTAAAAAGTTCTGTTCGTAAACCATTTTTTGGTTTTTTTTTTTTGGGGGGGTGGGGGTGCGGGTGGGTGCAGGGTGAGGGAGAGAAAGAGAAAGTGTAATCATTGTAACCCTCAATGCTTTGGAATTAACCGAGTGATATGTCCATTCCTTTAGTTGTTGTTACTACAATTATTGTTTTTGCAACAATACTATTATTTAGCATTTTACATGTTATAATAATTTTGTCTGTGCTGAGTAATTATTCAACATCTATTCTGTTTTTTATATTCTGAAGCTAACTTTCTGTTTTTACTTATTACATTCTGGTAATCCATTCTTTATTTTTATCTTTGTTGTGCTCTATAATTAAAGTTAATTTCGTTTCTGTGACTGTATTACATCTGTTACCATTTTGTTTATTTCCTTATGTCGTTAATGCAGAGTGACCTTGTTCAGTCTTCTGCCATGTCAGAGTATGATTTGGCAGCAGAGGGAGATTTGTTCAAAGCACCTGAACCTATTATTGAAGAGCCAGTCGTGGACGTGGATCCCATGACAGCAGCCATCTCGATGATATCTTGTGGGGAAGATGTCTCATCACAGGGACTAAAATCCACAGATATTGATATTCTTCAAAATGAACAGCTTCTGAGCGAGGTATTCTATGAGTGCAAAAAGGATCTCTTAGAAAAGGCGGCAATAGAGTCACCACTCTCTGAGATTCTGGATATCAAGGTTCCTGTTCTGAACATAGATGAGAACTCAATTCAAGAAAACAAGCCACTTCCTGACATGCCAAAGAGCATCAGTTCGGGAAGTTTAAGCTCAATGGACTGGATGCATGGAGCTGCAATGAATCCTGCTTTCCTTGATATCCCGGGAATAGATTTCAATGCAGTTTATGGCATGCGTAGATCATTTAGTGAAGGAGATATAAAGGTCTGACTTAACTGATTCGTATGTGTATTGTGTCTTGTGCTTTTTATAAATTTAATTGAATCACCATGAAATTAAACAGCATCTATTGAAGCTATAAAGGTAACGGCTTAAAAGGCCCGAAGGTCATGCCTTCTTTTTGGGGGTGAGGGAGATCAGAGTAAAATTTTAGTAGATTATAAGGAAAACATCTAACTACACTGCATCTCTGGAAGCAACTTTGTCTTGAATTAGATTTAGTGATTTCAGAATTCTTCTTCTTTCCCTGACATGTTTAGAGTGATAGATTAAAATTTTATAGCCGTTGTAGCTATCTTATCAAGTAATGACATTTTTATAATAGTCTTGGACTCCTGTCATAATCTTCTTCCACCTCGATATATAGAGACTTTGCTACCTTTTGAACTCAATCAATAAGGAAAACTTCATCTATACCAAGTATCAATTGATCTTCTGTTAAGTCTCATGATTAAAGCAAATGACGAAAAGGGAAATGACAACATTACCTGAATCTGATTGCTAAATTAGAAATAACAAATTTTGCAGTCTCTTCTTATAATATCTCATATTTCATAGATCGCTTTAAGTTTTGTCAAAATCTATTTGTTTAAATGTCTCAAAATTTCATCTGCTTATGTGATCAGAAATTAGAAGGCTTTGCCAAAATACTCCTAATTCTTTGAAGAGTGATTCCTTTTGCTATGTGTTATGTTATCCATATGATTGATTTATTTCTTGATATACTGGAAATGCTGCTCCTTTATCAACCTGTAGTGTTATTTGATATATGAAAGAAAATTCACCCTTATCTGAAATCATTATTTGGAAGTCTTGTCTTTTCAAACACCCCTTCCCTTTTTTACATCCAGAAATGGGATACTTTCTCCAGGAAATTAGGCTTCCTTGTGTGGAATCACAAACAATTTCTGCATCAAATTCTCCCTAGTTATTTATTCCTCTCATTTGGGTGAATAAACCCACCAAAATCTAGTGATTTACTTGAAGTATAGTACACACATCACTTAGCTGGATGATGAAGTCTATATGCACTGAGAAATCTGTAGATTTCTGGCCATTGTCACTGTATGGAGCTGGATGATTGATACTGTTTTTGTGACAGACTCTTGGTAATGGTAACATGAACATTGTCCAATCTCCCCATGAGAGGCCCTTTCCTATCTGCAACTGCACCAGTGAAGAACGCCAAGAAAAGCTCTCCAGATACAGGAATAAGAAGACAAAGAGGAATTTTGGGAGGAAAATCAAGGTAACTATAGGCTCACCATCCCTCTACTACTTGAGAACTTTACTTGGACAGAAAGCCTTGAAAATTCTATTCAATGCATTACATCACGTATCTCTTGAAAGTTTTGCATTGCCATATAATGGGATGGAAAAATATTATTTGGTTAATGCTTCCTGCTTGGAACATGACATTCATCTTTGTCTTCTGTTTAGATGGTTTCTAGAATTTGTTTTTTTCACTTCCTTTGGTGATTTTAAGGTTGCATATATGTCATGGATGAGTAGTGTCTGTTATAAATCATAATCATTACATCAACTTTCGAATCTTCTGAGTGTGTCATTATTCATTGCTGTTGTTTTATAGTATTCAAATGCAATAAAAAGCATCTTCAGTAACCATGCCTAATCCCTCGGTATGATTTAGAGTTTTTTAGTATGGCATCAACAGCAATTTTCTTTTGCAACCAAGTTTTACTGACGCTATTTTCAGCCTATAAACAGATTCCAAACTCAACTGATGATGTCCTTTGGTTTCAGTATGCTTGCAGGAAGGCTCTTGCTGACAGTCAACCAAGAATCCGTGGAAGATTTGCAAAGACTGAAGAATCTGATGCTAAGAGGCAATGACTCTTAACTGATTTAATGGGAAGAAAGTAGGAATCATGTTGCCATATCTGAGATTCAAGCTCAGCAGTAATGTGTGCTTGGAATTTATGTAATTGGTGGAGTTATTTGAGTTCAACAGATATTGGCAAAATATAAACCAGACCTCAAACTCCTCAGGGTAGAGTTCATCTCTTATCTTTCTGTATTAACCTTCTCTGTTGTGGCAAATAACCTTTCTATATGTGTAAATAGGTTGGTTGAATAAAAGAAGGAAAAAGAGATGGCTGTACCGTGTTCATATCTATGATGAAATTAGTTGCACTAGTTTTTTTTTTCTTCTGAATTTTGGGGTTCCATTCTCTTTGCATTATTCATCGTTTAACCCGTCCCTTCAGTTTGAAGGTTAAAATTAAGTGAATGGAAAACATCCAGCTTCTTGTTCAGCCATATGCAGATTAACGTGCTAGAATGAAGATTCTATAAACTCCTCTGCTACAATGCCATGGCATCATAAGCATCTTCATGACAGGGTTATATTATAGTTTCAATTTTATATAAATTTCAAAATTATATATATATAAAAGTTAATTTTGATTATTTATATATGATTATATAATTAAAGATGATTTTATTCAACTAAGACGTATCATGATTGAACAGGTAGATCATTGCCCTGTACATGTTAATGCCATGTCAGTAACAGTCTTGCACCAAACCTAACCATTAACATGCTTATCTTATGCAATAAATTCAGGAAAGTAGATTTCCATTAAAAATAATTCAGGTATAGAAAATTTTTATTTAGTTTTTTATATTAAGTGTATTTGTCACCAAGTCACCTTTGACTAACAGATAGAATTTTGGAAAGATAAAAAAGCATATTTAATTCATCGAGTAAATTATTGCAACTGTTATTTTCATTTATTATACAAAACTTTACGGATCACTTGAGTGGTTCTCGCTTCTTATCCCTACTACATAGAATATCTCACTTCATCACTTTTTCCTAACTTCTGTCCACTACAAATAACCATCCACTAGATATTGTATCGTACCATTAAGTCACGTGCAAACTACTCATTAGGGGCACAATCTCTTAGTGCATTTCATTTATATATGACCCCCTATAACTAACAAGAGGGATCTCATCTGATAACTTATCTCAATATTTACAAGACTTGCCACCATAGCTACAATCTTCACATTTGTTGTGTTCAGAGCACATTTATCCACTAAGCAGGAGACTCACAAACACACCAATTGTTAATACTGTCTTACTGACTTTGGCCTAAGATGCAGAACTTCTCATTGACTGTCATCTTTACCATAAGCTCCGTAGATATAAATACTAGACATTGATGTTCACTTCCGAGCATTTCGCGCCGTATGTGAAAATTGTTAAATTTCGATTCCTCCCACTACACAACCACAGGAAAACAAACAACACACTAGATGCAGAACCCAAGCAAATATTCATATCGCCATTCGAATTTGGGTCTTGCGTCGTATGCCCGTCAATTATGTGCTGACGCTTCAAACATTGGATGAGACTTGAAAAAACATATAAGCTAAGTATTCTTACTTTTTCCTCATCTTTAACTCAACTCCAACTTGATAAATTTTTAGTTGTATTTCACCTTTGCTTTGCGTTCGCTCTCTTCAATGTGTGATAAGTTATTACTTATTTGCCTCTCAACAAATGGTAATAATAGTCGTATCATAATATTGTAATGGAAGACACAACAAACCGAGAGGGAATGATAGATAAAAGAGATATACATGATAACGGAGTGGATCCTCTTATGTGTTAATTAACATGACCATATCATGTGAGGCAATCATAATCATACATGAGTGAGTTAATGGTGATAAGGAAGGAGAGAAAAAAATATAAGGATAGGAAGTTATACAATAATCACCGTTGATTTAATTATTAATAATTAAAATCCTCCCACATAATATGATCATGTTAAATTACACATGAAAAAATCCATTTCCATGATAATGCGTCCTCTCATTTGTTTTGACGTTTGTCTATTATCATCACATAATAATCCCATTGGCCTTCACAAATTGGTCCATCAATCTGTCTGTCACATCATATCACACCTAGCAAACCACTCAACCTTTCCCCAATTTTCAGAAAAATATTAAGAAAATATAAATATAACCGGTTAAACCAATTACTCGCCTAATCTGAAGTTATATAATCTAAGTCAAAAATCCATATATAAAATTGAGTAAATAACTCTTTTTGGTCCCTGACAATATTCACGAAGTCCTTTTTGGTCTCTAGCAATAAAAAAGGGATATCGTGGTCCCTAAATTTTACAAATTAAGCCCACGTTAGTCCTTCTGTTAGTGGGACTATAACGCCGTGAATAACGTCTCTGATGTGTACTGTTAAAATGCTGAGTCAGCATTGAGGAATCCACCTAGATAAAAAACGACGTCGTTTGGTACCTTAATTTTTTCGTTCTTTCTTTCTTCTTCTCTCCAATACAGGTCCCCTCCACCAGCACCCATGTTCATTACAGTTCACCACCACCATGGTAAATGAGGGCTGGTCAACAAGACTTAAAAATGGTAAATGAACACCCATTTAGTCGAGGTTGGCAATGACAACGTCAACAATCTCCTGGATAGTGTTGTCTTCGCCAAAATCTTTTGTCCAGTACTTGCACTCTGAGATTACACGATTCACAACAGTCTCAAGTCTGTCAGCAAAAGAAGAGAACCGAAGATGCCTCAACATCATGGTCGAGGAGAGAAGCAAAGCAACTGGATTAGCCTCACCATCATGGTAAAAGCACAAGAGGGTGCTAGAAGATAGAGATGAATAATACAATGGAATATTTTATAAAACAGAGCATTAGAATGTAAATGAAAAAAGATGGTAATGATACCGTAAATTTGGTAGTTAGCTGTTATGATGTACTTGCGGAGCATTAGACTGATCCTGCTGAGAAACTCCGCGAGTACATCATAATGCACAAGAATGACAAGAGTGAAACGAAATGCTCGTGAAATGTTAATTTCCTGTTGATTTTACAAGTTTCTTTCACTTGTTTGTTTCTAAGTATGGTTAGTAACATAAACCATGGTCTTGAAAATTTTAACTCTTTCTGTATTATATGCAATAGGTTTGCAGCGAATCATCTATTATTTAAGGTTGTTAATGGTTTTTTCTATTCTTAGTTGAGGTTTGAGGAAACTTGAGTGACTGCTACTGCATAATCTCAATTGAGCTGAAGCTCTTAGTTTTGTAGAATTTTTTAGTTAGTAGCTTTTCTAGACTAACCTCACCGGAGGATGTATAAGGTTGAAATGCTTGTTCTTGATCTTGACATGAGGGAGATCCCAATGTTCATTATGTATTCAGCAACCATGAATACTATGTTACAAGTAGTATGCTAACTGTATTTATGCCTCAGAATTCGAATAGACATGCTTAAGAACACTGTTATAGTGTTGTACAATATTTCCTGCTGTAAAATGAATTCATTGGTTTGTTGTAGAATACAGGGCGTCGAGATCTGTGTTCACTTGGCCTAACAGTGTAGAGATAAAACACTTCGAGTTTGAGTTTTAGATATAACTGTCAACAGTACAATTAAACTGATACATAAGGTTTGCTTTACTGCACATGCCTATTTCTTTTGATTTTCTTTAGCATAACCTTATCTTATTAAAGGCTAACATCTTTTAAACTGCATATTATCATATCATATTTGTATATATCTGCAGTTTGTATCATATCTCAAATTATTTTTCTTCTCCTGTGTGTTTGATTTGGGTTTGTTGGAGAAGAGTTTTCATATCTCACACAAGAATTCATCGTAACATGTTTCTCAAGTCAAAATAGCTTGTAAGCTGTAACTTCATCTGTTGCCAGCAAGCTTGTTTTTCATTTAAGTACTATAACTGTATGCTAGTGGTGAGGAATAGCAGGATGTAGGGGGAAGGTAAATTTGTAGAATCTTAAGAAAGGAAAAGCAATCCCCATCGATATCTGTCATGTCATCTATTCTTCCATTTCACCTTTATTGTTTTAAAGTGTGATTTGCTGAGATACTCAAGATGTGAAACTCGCGGAGTTTAGAAACAGAGCATTGTGATGTACTCGCGGAGTTTCTCATAAAATAAAATTTTCCATGCATGAGGAGGAAGACCCACTGAACCTTCATCAACAGTGAATTCTAAAACTCCTGAATGGGTGGTCCCCTGTTTCTCTTTATTAGCACCTTTACCGCCTGAAGAGCCTTCTTGATGAACTAAACATAATGAGGTTCAGCTGTCTCAGACTACTCGAAGTGAGGGTGAGATCTTGCAGTCATTCAACTTAACATAATGATGGAGAGGCAGAGGGTGGAGTTTTGCATGGAGGCCGTAACGATGGCGGTGAAGAATGGTAAACCAGGTGAACTGTAATGAACATGGGTGCTGGTGGAGGGGACCTGTATTGGAGAGAAGAAGAAAGAAAGAAAAAATAATGTACCAAACGACGTCGTTTTTTATCTAGGTGGATTCCTCAATAGTGACTCAGCAATTTAACCGTACACGTCAGAGATGTTATTCACGGCGTTAGAGTCCCACTAACAGAAGGACTAACGTGGGCCTAATTTGTAAAATTTAGGGACCACATTGTCCCTTTTTTATTGCTAGGGACTAAAAAGGACTTCGTAGATATTGTCAGGGACCAAAAAGAGTATTTACTCTATAAAATTTAATGAAAACCGGTTTTGATTGCCAAAACTAAATAAGTGAATAATCCACTAGATTTCATATTAAAAAACCAAATGGTTTTAAAAGTTATCTGCAATTCTTGTTTACTAATTTGTTTTATTTGAAAAGAGTTAAAACAGTCATAAACTTATATTAGGTGTAAACATAACTCATTTTTAGATCCCAACTCGTTTTTTGGGTCTGGATAAAAATGGTATAACCTTTCTCTCATAAAATTTATTTGAAAATTAAATATGTGTTCTCTTCTTAAAAAATACAATTCACGTTTACTGCATGACCTAATAAAGGTGGTTCTCAGCAAAATTTTAGGCTCAAAATTGGTTGAACAATGCCTAAATTGTTTTAATTTTCTAATAACACATATTTTTCAATTTATATGACACAAAATTATATGAAATTATATAAAATAGTACATAATTTGAATAAAAAAAGGAAAAACAGTTTGATCTAATATTATTCTACCTCAATTATTAAAGAGCCAACATATTGCTTGCATGGTTGCACCTGGGGCTTTTTGACCTTTTTACTATTAATTAATTAATTAATTAATAATTATTTTGTCCC